TGTTGTTAGCACCATCAGAGTCTTGAGCACCCAGCAATCCTGGTGCTCCCAGGTGCTCTGTGACCTTCCTGGCATCTGGTGACCTTTTTGTCATTTCAAAAGTGTAATATAGATGGATATGTAGTATGTGCCCTTTGGAACTGGCACTTTTTACTTGGCCCAGTGCCGTGTACCATGCTTCTAGAGTAAGTCAGCTACATCAATTGTTCCCAGAGTGGACTGCATTCAGAAAGCTCTTAAATGTTATCTGAATGCCAGTTTTCTGAGAATCACTATGTATTTTACATGCCTTTCTTTAACTGTCAGTTTTAGCAAAGAAAAGCTTTCTATTGTTTGTTCCCATTCAGCCCTCAACCTCCCTTAAGCTGCGTGGGGATCCATTTTACAGAGATGGAGATGGAAGAGTACAGATAATTTTGAGTAGGTAGAGTTGAGGTTATACTTAATCTGCCTGGCTTCCAGCCTTTTCCCTTTAGCACAGCACTGCAGATCCAGTGATGGGGTGGGACGGAAACATTTTCCATGCACTCAACAACTTTTTAGACCGACAGCTTCAGTGGAGCTGCATACCAGTATATGAATGAACTGATGAATGAACACAACCCGTGAGACCGTAATACTCAAACCTGGCTAAATATAGAAACTTTATGGGAGAAAGTTTGGGAAGGTTCATAGACATCAAAACTTAGCCTTTTGTGTGTTTGTTTTTTTCGTTGTTTTTGAGACAGGGTCTTTCTTTGTAGTTTTTGTTGTTCTAGAACTATGTAGAACCAGGCTGGCCTTGAATTCACAGAAATCAACCTGCCTCTGCTACCCAAGTGCTGGGGTTAAAAGTGTGCAACACCACATCTAGCTTTTTTTCTCTCTCTCTTTCTTTTGACAAGAACCTCTCTTTGTAGTCTAGGCTGGCCTCAAGTTGACTATCACGCCAAAGTGGACATTGAATTCCAGTCAAGAGCCTTCATGTATGACTTCATTTTAGATATTGTCTATGGAAACACACATCTAAGGCAGCTATTCCTCTTGGCTAGTTCCAACTTTCACTCTGGGTTTCTTTTTTCTCCTACGGAGGATGTTAGGATGTTTTACAATGAGTCTAACACATTTCTTTGATCACTTGTAGGTCTTGGCTTACATGACAGATATGACTTTAGAAATGGTTAGAAGATGTCTTCGTGGGTGTTTTATGTGGCGTGAGTAATTATGGAACTGTTCTTTTCAGATGATTTAAAAGGAGAGCTAGATGAGTACATCCAAAGATACCTGCCTGCAAAAGTCCAGGTCATAAGAAATAGGAAACGTGAGGGATTGATCCGAGGAAGAATGATCGGAGCAGCCCATGCTACAGGTATATCTGCACTGTGTTTTGGACACCTACAGAGGTCCACAAAAAGCTGTACATCTTAGTTACTGTTCTGTTGCTGTGAAGAGACACCATGAGCAATGCAACTTATAAAAGAAAGTATTTAGGGCTTATAGGTTCAGTGGGTTAGTCTAGGACTATTATGGGACTGGAGCAGTAGCTGAAAGCGTCCATCTGATCCATAAGCAAGAGACAGGGACAGAACTAATTAGGCCTGGCCTGGCATGGGTTTCTGAAACCTCAAACCTCCTGTGACACACCTGACAAGGCTACACCTAATCCTCCCTAAAATGTTCCATCCAGTGGGAGCCAAGCATTTGAATATGAGCTTCCGGGGCCATTCTCACTCAGCCCACTACACCATGTTTTATTGACTGTTGTCCAAAGGAGTGAAGACACTTGTTCTGTTTGGAAAGATTTTGTAACTCTGACCTGCTGCCCTAAAGCACAGAGTACAAAAATTGCTGCTAGAGCCCTCACTGGCCTGTTTTTTTTTTTTTTGTTTTTTTTTTTTTTGTTTTTTTTTTTTTTGTTTTTCGAGACAGGGTTTCTCTTCCGGAACTAGCTCTTGTAGACCAGGCTGGCCTCGAACTCATAGAGATCCTCCTGCCTCTGCCTCCCGAGTGCTGGGATTAAAGGTGTGCACCACCACCGCCCAGCTGGCCTGTTTCTTTAGTGGCCTTTTGGTTAATTATTGGTCTCTAAAATAGATTTCTTATCTTGCTGCTCACATAAGTAGAAAAGTCCAAGCTGACAAGTAACTAAACTTCTAAAAATCTCATAGGAACATTAACTCCAAGCTGCTTGACTTGAGTTACGCTAATAGTTAGTTGTTAGTGTGGAGTGCCCCTCTTTAGAGTCAGTGTCAGGATTTTACTTGGTAAATAGGATTGGTTTCCATAGCTATAAACAGTGCTTAAAACTCCAATAGCATGAAGGGGGTGGTTGTTCCTGGGAGGTTTTCAGGCCTTTCTATCATGTGCTACACACTAATCTCCCCCTAAAAGCAAAGAACAGTTGCAGAGCCAGTCTTCTGTAGGGAATACACTCCAGTGACTCTGGTGCTTCTTCTGTGGTCCTTTGTTTTGATCCCAGGCTGGCTTCATACTTGTTGTATAGCTGAGGATGATTTTGAACTCAGGGTCCTTGTCTCTACCTCCCAAGTACTGGGATTATAGACATGCACCTTCATACCTGGCTTATCTCTTTTTATGCTTACCTTGAAAAATAGAGTTATAAGGTTGGCATTCCTGATTTTCTTTTATTGATCTTGACTAAAACATTTTCCCTTAAGAAATATACATGAAAGCTGGGAGGTGGTTGCGCATGCCTTTAATCCCAGCACTTGGGAGGCAGAGGCAGGTGGATCTCTGTGAGTTCAAGGCCAGCCTAGAGCTAGTTCCAGAACAGGCTTCAGAGCAACACAGAGAAACCCTGTCTGGGGGTGGGGGGAGGAAAAATTACAAGCAAATCTGTAGCTTATGAGGGGGCTGGAGAGGTGGCTCAGTGGTTAAGTGCACTAGCTGCTCTACCAAAGGTCCTGAGTTCAATTCACAGCAACCACATGGTGGCTCACAACCATCTGTAATACCATCTGGTGCCCTTTTCTGAAGGCATACATGCAGGAAGATAATAAATAAATAAACCTTTAAAAAAATAAAGTAGCTCATGGGCATATCAGAAGTCATGAGGGCAGTTTGATAAGTCCTGACTTGAGTCTTTCCCTCATAGTGATGCCACCTTTTCCTGCTGTGAACAGCTCTGCTTCAGTCTGCCCCCTCCCCCAGGGTCTGTGATGAGCACTGGGCACTTGCTGGACTTGGTTGGGATTTGATCTTTTTATTTAAGAACCTACTATGACCTGAAGCAGCAGACAGGAAAGGAGGGCCCCTCTGCGTCCAGTCAGAGCCAGTGCCCTTAGGTCAGAATGAGACACCTGCTTCTCCAGGGCTTTAACCAAGGGAAGTCGGCTGTGCTGGGTCATTGAAGACGTGAGCTGCAGAAAACTTGGGAGCGCTAAAGAGTGTGCCATTTGAGCCACTCTCCTGCTGCAGTGCATAGTCACTGTTATTCTGTGATCTGGTTGTCGTCGTTCATAAGTTTCTCAAATTTGGAATTATCAAAACTAACAGTTCTCCACCTTGTTCACCTTTATCAGTAAGCACCAAAGATAACAGGATGAGTCTGAGTGAATCCCTTAGAGCCCTGTGGGATATAAGCAGTGAGCTGGAGGTAGTACAGTGGACAATGCAGGGGAGAAGGGGGACATGTATGGATGGTATCCCACTGGGTTTGGCACAGCAGTCTGTATTCCACCCTTCAGGCCCTGCTCCTCTTTCAAGGAAGTTGCCATAGTTTAGTGGTTACTGGTGACAGTGCAGTTGAGGACGCTGAGGCAGGAATGTATAATGTAGATACTTTGAAATGACTCCACAACTGGCCAATGTCGCTACACCTGAACGCATTGGCTGTGGCTGTCGCTGGGAAAGGAGGAGTCTCCTGAGTCCTGACAGCTTGTTGGGGTCGTGCATGTAGTTTGTAGCCTCTCCATGACAGTGTATATTCCAGAGAAAACTCTTGGCCAAAGGATTCTTTCCCTGAACCCAGTTGGCAGTGCAGAGAATAGTTTATTGATGGGGGTGGTCATAGTATGAGGTACCACTCCCTCATCTTCTCCCTTCACCTCCCCAGGAGAAGTCCTGGTGTTCCTAGACAGCCACTGTGAGGTGAATGTGATGTGGTTGCAGCCCTTGCTGGCCGTCATCCTCGAGGATCCACACACTGTGGTGTGCCCCGTGATCGACATCATCAGCGCTGACACACTTGCCTACAGCTCATCCCCAGTGGTGCGGGGAGGTTTTAACTGGGGCTTGCACTTCAAGTGGGATTTAGTTCCTGCATCTGAGCTGGGAGGAGCTGATGGAGCCACTGCACCAATAAGGTAAGAGAGGTTGACAATTAAATAGACCTGAGTCTATTAAAAAAAAGAACAGTTGGTGGTGGTGCACGCCTTTAATCCCAGCAGAGGCAGGTAGATCTCTGTGAGTTCAAGGCCAGCCTAGGCTACAAGAGCTAGTTCCAGGACAGGCTCCAAAGCTACAGAGAAACACTATCTCAAAAAAGAAAAGAACAGACTATTAAGGAAAATTTCTTCTTTGCAAGGGACAAAGATCTTAATTTACCTGGTTAAAAAAAAATTGAAGTTAGGTGCTACAATGAGACCCTATCTCAAAAACAACAAATTTGTTTCTGTTTTTTTGTTTGTCTTTGAGACAGGATTTATCTCTTCTAGCTATCCTGGAACTCACTCTGTAGACCAGCCTGGCTCCACCTGCCTCTGCTTCCCGCATGCTGGGATTAAAGGTGTGCACCACTGTGCCTGGTTCAGCAAGTGGTATAATTTTCTATAAACGCAACCCAGAGTTAGAATAAGAAACTGTCCATAGTGCTGTGTAGTTTGTAGAGGGAATAGGTCATGTTTCCTGGGGAAGTATGGGTGCCCCCGTGCGCTGGGTCTTTGTCAGGCTGAGGAGTGTTTTATTAGACTTCAGGTGTTTTTGTTGTATTTTGGAATATTTGCATACCCATAGTTGTATATTTTGAGATGAGACCCAAGAGTAATGCTCTTGTATTTCTTATTTTTGCACAAGACCTGAAGGTAACTTGATGCAGCCTTCAGGAACCTTTGCAAACAAGAAGTCATATTAGTCTTTTTTAATTTTTCATACAATATATTTTGGTTATATTCTTTCCCCTCACCAACTCCTCCCAAATCTCCCTCCCTACCCATTCACCTTCATATTCTTTCTTAAAAAACAAGCTCAAGAACAAAACAAAGCACATATAAAAATACCCACACCTCCCCAAAGAGTCCTTTTTGTGTTGCCCTAGTCCAGCGCATGGGCCTGCTTTGGGTGGAGTTGATATACCCAGTGTCATGGTATTGAAGAAAAATGATTTTCTCTTCCCAGTTGCAAATACAGTCTTGGCTGTCTTATTTTGAATTCCTTTGAAGATGCTTTCTTTCAAAGTGTTTTTCAGACATGTATAAATAGGTTTTGTTTTTTTGTTTTTTAAAGACAGACGGGGTTCATATAACTGCCATACATGCAGGATTGGGGATTGAAGCTAGGGATTTCTTTTTTTTTTTTTGGTTTTTCGAGACAGGGTTTCTCTGTAGTTTTGGAGCCTGTCCTGGAACTCCCTTTGTAGACCAGGCTGGCCTCGAACTCACAGAGATCCGCCTGCCTCTGCCTCCCGAGTGCTGGGATTAAAGGCGTGCGTTTTTTTTTTTTTTTTTTTTTTTTGGT